AGGAAGGAAGGAAGGAAGGAAGGAAGGAAGGAAGGAAGGAAGGAAGGAAGGAAGGAAAAGCCTTCACAAGGCAGAGCTAGTCTTACCCTGTAGGTCACAAGGATTTCTGGTATTTGTTTATTTCCTGGTCCTCTTGGCCTCCCAATCCTAGCTCAGCACGGGTGGAGACAATGGCCTGACTTGTTTCTTCCTGTTTTCTCTCTCCCACTGTTTGCCTGAAAGAGCCACTTACAAAAGTAACTTGAGTTGACACAAAAGAGAATTTGAAAGGCTATTTTCAGCTTATGCTCAGAAGACAGTACAAGAGTTTACCAATGATTGGATAGTCTGAAAGTTAGCTTTCCCCAAATCTTCAAACATTCAAATATGGCTAAGAAGAGCACTGTAATTCCAAAGTTCTCAGTGACATTTAAATGTGCTGAGAGCAGTGGTAGTCCAGCCTCAGTCTCTCTCATCATGCCATTATTAATGGATGTCCTGGTGCATCGCTTTGCGGTGGATGAGGTGAGTTTCTCTGCTATGTTTGTTGATGTCTCAAGAAAAGCCAGAAGCCACAGCTTGCTCCGCTTTCTACACTCTCCTGTGGCAGGATTGGACCAGGCTCCCAGCCCTTCTCAGGTCACCTGAAATATACTGAGTATTTGGGGACCGTGGGTGTTTGATGAACTATTCATTATATATATTTTTTATATCATATAATTACAATTAGAAATATAAGATACAAAGCATATTAGTTTAGATATTTAATATTACATCTGTATAAAACTTCCAAATATCATTTTTTCAATTTCTATAATTACATATTTAGCTCACAGATGTAAATATACCTTTCTATATTCAGGTTTTTTGTTTGAATCAGTCACCGCCAATTCCTGAACAAGACTTTAATGATAAGTTCTTCAAATTCTTGATTGTCACCAGCAACAAGAAATTTTGTTTATGCGAGGTGATAAAAATCTTTTTGATTTTTTTAAAAAATTCAATATTTTTCAGCAGTACAAATTATCTTTATAGGATCTGACAGCCTTTTTTTTCTTCCACTGATAAAATGCAACCTGGCATTTCTTGTAATAATGCAAATTCTTTTCAGACCTTTAGAACTTTTTCATATGGAGCATTTCACAGGAACAGAGGCGCTGACACCCCCTGGAGATTAGGTGCCTGGGCTGGCAGCCAGGACCGAGACCTGGGCTATGTGGGCTGCACCCCGGACCCTGTGTAGATGCTGGTCCTTGAAGGCTGTGGGAGGCCTGGGTGCAGCTGTTCACCAGTGGGGAGCAAAAAGGCCTGGGGATGCCACTGGCCCTGGGCCTTCCCAGCTGCCCTGAGGACCAAGGGGATCAACACTTCAACTGACCACAGCAGTCACTGCCCTTACTCATGGAACCCATAGCTGGAATCAGCCCAAAAGTGGTGGCAGGGGAGGTCCCAACCCTACTGAGGTGGGACTGGTTGGGATTCCAAAGAAAGAAGCACTAGATGCCAGGGTGATCAGTCTGAAGCATGTACCAGGGGAACTTGTGCAGAGTGCTGCGGCGTATCCTCATGAGGGACAGTGAGAGAAAGGATGCTCCTAGCTGTGTTACAGCAAGGGGGTCAGAGGATAGAGTTCATGTGAGGGTTTAAGGAATTTGGCTCAGGGCTGGGGCTAGTTTCTTTCGGTATTGTGGACAGCAACCTAGACATCTTAATTGGTGCCTGGGAATGTTCAAGGCCCCGGTTTTGTTTCAAGCCTGCGAGGAGGAAACTGCAGCTGGCTGGGTCACAGAGGGGTCAAGGCACTGTGATTTCCAGTCAGGACATAAAAGAAAGGGAGCTGGGGACCCTGGGTAGCCTCTTCCTGCCTCAGTCTGCGCATCTGTGAAGTGGAGATAAAAGCAGTACCTAGCTGGGGGGCTGTTATGAGGAGTAAATGAGCACTGTGCCTGGCAGCAGTAAGTGCTACCCACATGTTTATTAAATAAAATAAGAAGGTCGAGAGGCTCTAGAGTAGACCCCCAAATCCCATACTGAGGACCAGCCAGAATCAGATGCTCTAAATTCTGGTTCCACAACCCTCTCGATGGGGGACATATGCAGGTTGCTCAACCTCTCTGAGCCTTGGTTTCCTGGCCCAATGCGTGGTGATGGGACTAGTACCCATGGTATAATGATACACAGGTTAAATAGGACAGCTCCCATAAAGTGCTTGAAACATGACAGGTGCTCAGCAAACAACAGCTACTAAGAAGTGGCAGGGCCAGGACGTGAACCCAGCTTGCGGAGCTCCAGAGCCTGGACCCTGCACCACTGCCCACCCTACCTCCTGTGAGTTATGTCCCCCAAACAGAAAAGTGCTTCACCTGCCAAATTCTCTTCTATTCTGCAGTTTATTTTGCATCTTTCCACTCAGATGGCATTTTTCAATCCTTTAATATTTTGTGTTCCTCATCTATGGACTCCTGGAGTATTTCTTCCTCAAATTCTCTTCTATTCTGCAGTTTATTTTGCATCTTTCCACTCAGATAGCATTTTTCAATCCTTTAATATTTTGTGTTCCTCATCTATGGACTCCTGGAGTATTTCTTCCATATCTCTAAAAGCAGTGCCAAGAATGGTCACAGCAATGGCACTGAGGACCAGGGCAAAGGAATTCTTTTGCAAAGGCACCAAGGTTACTGTGACCACTGTCTTTCTCATTCTGAAGTAAATTCAACACATCCTTCCTCATTCATATTTTATTGGGAAGTCATATCAGAAAATTAATCAGTTATAAAACTTTAAATATTAAATGAATCATTCTTATCAAATGCATGATTCATGTAGGAATATCAAAATCTCTCGTGAAGACCAGAAGCCAAGTTAAATACGGCATTTCATTTTACAAATATTTTTATATTTAATAGTCATGGGGAAAAAAAGAACTGTAATAAACAACTTTTGACTCTGTACAAACGTTAGCATCAAGGAACAGCTACAGATTAAATGTTAAGATCTGCAAGGTAAGTGAAATAAGTCATCTTTTATTAAAATATAATATCTTTGTCTTTTTCCACCATATACATACATATATTTTTTCTCCTTAAATAAATATATATTATGCATTTTTAATGATGACTTACTTGACAACATTCATTTGGTGCTTTGGGGCCATGGAGTTTACCGCATAAGGAAAACAAATACCTAAAACATTAGGCATAACTGGATTCTCCTAAAACAGATGAATTTACTTGGGTTTGGAATGTCTCCTCTCAGCTCTCCTCACATCAGGATTTCTGAGTTTTCTGAGGAGTCATCGGCAAATAAAAGTTCATCTGGCGATGGGCCACCCAAGGGCAGTGTGCTGGAATGGCACCAGGAGACCCCGTTCCTTACAAGTCTGTCCTCAGGTAAAACACCATCCTTCCCAGCAGTGATTGTAGCAGACAGGGGGGACGCCAGGTCGTCCCATTCCTCACCGCCCCCATTCAGGATATACCTTTCTTCAAGAGGCTTGTTCTCGTGAACTTCTGCTGTGACCACGCTGATGGCAGCGCTGGGGGTGCACGAAGCAATTATAGAGTTGGGATCAATGTTCATGTCCAGCCGAGCAAGTGCAGGGCCCTCGGCCAAGTCCTCACAGCTCTCTAGCAACTGTGTGTTGATATAAATGACATCTGCTTTGTCCTGAACATCAGGCAAACTTTCCAAGAGCTTTTCTAGATGCAGCCTCAATGCTGAAAAGGTGGGTCGTTCCAAGGGATCAGCTCTCCAGCAAGAGAACATTATCTCATACCTTAAAAAAAAAAAAATTGAATTATCTGCTGGTATGGCACCCAGATCTCTTAGTGCAATCTACCCCTTTGTTTTCATCTAATCTTTTTTTTTTTTTTCCTTTTTGTCTTTTTTACTGACCGGTAACGGGATCGCAACCCTCAGTGTCGCACCCGTACCGGGGACTGGCAACGGGATCGCAACCCTCGGTGTCGCGCCTGCACCGCGCTCAGCCAGTGAGCCGGAACCGGTCTCCACATGGGATCTGAACCCTCGGCGGGAGTGCCGCTGCGCTCCCAAGCGGCACACTCTCCAGTGCGCCACCGGGCCAGCCCAAATCTTTAATTTTATCACATTTTAATCAGTATTCATTCTACTTCTTATAGGAATTATTGAGACTTGAGTGTTTAAGTTCCTTTTCTTTATACAGGGGATGGCAAACTATGGCCAGTGGGCCAAATCTGGCCCATCACCTGCTTTGTAAATAAAGTTTTATCAAAACATAGCTATGCCTATTTGTTTACATGTCATCTATGACTGCTTTTGCCACAATGGCAGAGTTGAGCAGGTTCTACAAAGGGTCCACAAAGCCAAAAATATTTACTATTTGCCACTTTACAGAAAAAGTTTGCTGACCTCTTTTATACCATCAGACCAGGCTGTTACCACGAAAGCTGTTAGATGGGACTCTCAGGCTAGGCTAGGAAGGCCAGGAGCTGCGATGGGGACTGGGAGATGAATGTGTGGTGTGTGTCACTCCACCTAACCTTCTCATCAGCCCTGTCATTGTCATTTTGTAATATAAATGAGAGTGGGCTCAGGGATGTTACAGATATTTATGTTACAAGCAACAGAAATGGACAAATACAGATGGTAAACTTTATGTTACGTATATTCTACCACAATTAAAAAAATGCACTATGTAAATTTATAAAATTTACAGATTGATGAATTTCAATCTTTATTACCCATGTCTTTCAAGCCCCTGGCTCTGAGGATGGCTGAGCGCGGTGCTGCAAGTGTGCTCAGAGAAATGCCAGCGCCTCGTGTTAGCCGTGTGCGTGTCTCTACCGTGCTAAGCCGGGGTCTGATCCTCGCTCCGCCAGTCGGCCAGCTGTGACTCCTGTCTTTGGGCCTGGGCTGCCTCACGTGAAGTGGAGGGAAGGGTCATAAGTAGAGGAGGGTTTCTGAGAGGGGGAGAAGGGGTTTGGCCTGGGGTCTTACGATCAGACGAGCCTCAGGCATGAGTTGGGGCCGGCTCTGCACCTGCCAATGTTCTGGCCCTGGGTGCAAGGAGGGACAAAAGCACAAGGCGGTGCGGGGGCTGTCGGGTGCGTGAGGATGAGGGCAGTGCTGTGGCCGGTGGCAGGTGGGCCCTGGAGAGGAGCCCCTAGCTCTGCACCTGCCAATGTTCTGGCCCTGGGTGCAAGGAGGGACAAAAGCACAAGGTCGGTGCGGGGGCTGTCAGGTGCGTGAGGATGAGGGCAGTGCTGTGGCCGGTGGCAGGTGGGCCCTGGAGAGGAGCCCCTGGATCCTAGTGGCTGTGGCCTCAAGGTGGCTGGCATATCTCAACTGCTTACTCCTCACAGCAGCTCCACGCAGGAAGAAACACCGTCCCCCTCACAGAGAGGGCTTGGAGAGGAGAGGGACTGGCTGAAGTCGCACCAGCCATCAGTGGCAGTGCCCACTGCATCTGACATCAGGGCCCCTGCTCGTAGCCATGACCTCTACCTTCTTCATTAAAAGTAGTCATGGCTGCCTTGCTTTCACGGTTACTATCTGAGCCATCCTGCAAAATACTTTTATAGACGATAGCTTGAATCAGCACAACCACCTCATCACATAGTAACTATTACTCCCTCTTCCAAATGAGGAACCTGAGAGGGTGAGGCTTTGCCCCAAGACGAGGGTGAAGCCACTGCCCAAATTAAGAGGTGTCTGGTGCCACGGCCCAGGTTCTTAACCACTGAGCTGCCTTGCCCGACATGAGTCAGATCCTGACAGATTTGGATTTTACCCTATGGGCAATGAGAAACCATAGAAATACTATATGCAGAAGCATTCCATGATCAGATTATAATTTTAGAAAGATTGCTTTGGTTGCCACCCAACGGACTTATTAGGAGTCTGAGGGTGAAGAGGAGCCAGGAGCCAGGAGGAAGAGTCGGAGGACCCACACTATTGGGCAGGAAATGAAGCTGATCCTGACCTACTCATTCACTTAGGTACACTTTGACGTCACTGTGGTGAGGGTGTGAGAGTAGATGAGCCAGTCCCAGGCCAGCCCTGGCGCTTATGCTTTGACAATATTAATGGTGGGAATGGATGGCGAGGGGACTCTGAGGGACACTGGTTGGCTAATGGGACCCCCTGGAATATAGAGATCAAGGTGGCTCCCAAGTGTCATGCTGGAGGTTGAGGGGAATGAGTGTGGGGCCATGACCCGTGGTGGCCAGCTGGTGGAGAGGGTCCTGAGGGCTGCGGTGCGGCCATGATGGGCTCAGCTGGGGAAATGCCCCATGGAGTTGACAGTGGTATCACAGAGACAGTGGTATCACCCTTGGGCAGTGGGGAGCAGGGCCTGCAGCCTGGTCCTTCCGAGATGGGGGTGATGCCATGAGGAGAGGTGGTAGGAAACATACATGTGGCTGACTTTTAAAAAAGCAAGGGGCAGCTAAACACAGGAGTGAGCCCATCTCAATCATGTTTAGGCAGCAAACCTAGATGAGAAGCTCAGAAGTATTCATTTCGTTTGAAGAAGAAAATGCCCCAGAACTGGAAACACAGAGACCTCTTTGGAGAATGCTCTTGCTTGCTAGCACCCAGATGCCAGCAGCTGGGGAGGAAGGCCTGTTCACCAGCATGTTGGCCGCAGAGCCAGCAGCAGCACAGGGCCATAGACCTGCCTGCTTTCACCTGACCTCCCAGCCCCATGGCGCGTGCTGACTCCGCTGCTCTGTCCCCTGAAATGTCTCAGAGAAAACCGACTCAGCATTGCCTCTGCAGTCACTATGTGAAACATCTAAAAACCACAGTGTGACACAGCTTAGAGCTTGCTAAGACCCAAGATAATCACTGCAAATATCAATTTCTGCTGGCACACAGGGAAAGCTAAGAAACTGCAACAAAAGTCTTTTCAGTCAACACCGCTGGACTGAAATGCTTCCTTATTTCCAGAAGCAAATATTTTGTTAACATGGCCCTTTTAAAAATGACCATGAAACCCAAGAACTAATTTAATTAGGATTTCATGACATTTTAAAAGGATTTACAGTGTTTGTTTCTGTTCTTAATATTGTACATCTACAACCACAATGACCATCACCACCGCCAAGCAGGGCGAGACTCTGATCAAAATTGCTTCCTTCTGTTTGGCTTAGAACCTGGGAGGCCATTGTGGAAATAGAACCACGTTCTCTCTTCCATGTGAGGGAGGCATCAGGGTCAGAGAGAGAGAGTGTGTGTGTCTGTGTGTGTAGGGGGCCCTGCACATGTCACCTGCACCAATGCCTGGCATGGTGTCCCATGATAGAGCTACAGCACGCCCATGGTTCTGAAGTGCTCTTGCTAAATATGGTGAGAATGCCCCTCTGCAAGCCCATCACCCTGATTATACAGGGAGGAGACTCACCATTAGGAAGGTTCAAGTCACCAAGCTACAGCAGCACCAGAAGAAACTATTTGAAAAAGGTCAGCAAGGTGCTTGGGTGAGATCTACTCGTGATGAGGCTATTGATAACTGGCATCACCGTGTGAGCATTTACTCTGTGTTCCTCCTAAGGCTGAGCATCCAGACACTTTCTTATTTAAGCCTCGTGATATCACTCTGAAGGACAGATGACTACACTTTGTTGAGGCTGACAACATAAGGCACAGAAAGGCTGTTGGTTGCCATGGCCACATGTGTCGCTAGTTAGGAGGCAGAGCCTGGCCTGCCCGACTGCTTGAGGACAGAGGGCCTGTGGGGATGGGATGTGAACTGTGGTCCTGCATGCTTCGGAGCTGGGAGCCCTCAGGCCTGGCCCAGCCCATGGGTTCTCAGGGGGCATCTTAAAACACAAATTCCAAGGCCCACTTTGTACCAAAAGCATCACAATCTCCAGGCACAGGGCTGAGGCATCACATTGTCAGAATAAACCCCAAGCAATTCTGATGACCAGCCTGTTCTCAAACTCACAGGCTTAGATTTCTCAGTTTCCTGATGAAGGATATTACTTATGCGTGTGTTTGAAATGCTATATAGAAAGAGAAGGATAACTGGACCAAAAGAGAGTAGGGGATCACTCAAGTACCTCATACGCTACAAAGTGAACTTATTTATCTATAGAGTACATTTCCTAGAGGTGCTTAAGGAATTTTAGAACATGTGCCACTGTCTCGTCTTTACAGCATCCTTTGATCGAGGCTGAGGCCTTTTGGATGAGTGAGCCACGGCAGGCTCACTGAAGACGTGCATACGCCACCTCCCACACCAGGAATGGCTCCTGGCCTGGGGATGCCCACAGGGGCCACCCTCTGCACATGCTTGCCTGGCTAACAGCAGTCTCCCCTCCCCCAATGGGTGCATTTCCCCAGGTCTTTGCAGAGCCACAGAGTACCCAGTGACACAGAGACGCCCACTCACAATTCATCCAGGCAGTCCTCAGGCTGCTTCAGCCTGTGGCCGTGAAGAAGGTAGTCATACATCTCATGGTTCTGCACTCCAGGGTAGGGAGTCATTCCCCGCGTTGCTATTTCCCACATGGTCACGCCGAACGCCCACTGAGAACAAAGCAACAACAAGCTGGGATGAGGCTGCTTCAGCCTGTGGCCGTGAAGAAGGTAGTCATACATCTCATGGTTCTGCACTCCAGGGTAGGGAGTCATTCCCCGCGTAGCTATTTCCCACATGGTCACGCCGAACGCCCACTGAGAACAAAGCAACAACAAGCTGGGATGCAAGTCTTTCCACAAAGGCTGAATGGACTTTTTCACTGGGAAAGGTCATTTCATTAAAGCCCTGACGATGGTGCACAAAGCTGGCAGTTCTGTGTGAGACACGCTGCTCTCCCCACATAGCCATATCATGGGGTCAGAGTGCCACGGTTCGCCATTTCTATGAAAGCTGTTCTGGGAAACATAGTAAAGGCAGAAACAGCCAGGTCATACGTCAAAACTCTGATTAATGCTCAGCTCCAGTGTTGTTGTGGGGTGTTTTCTTTTCCCAGTGTTGGGTCAGGGGTATAATTACACAGCACCTTTCACATAGTATTTTGGTTCCAAAGAGCCACTAGATGAACTCATTCAACTTAATGTGAATATGAAATATCTTAATTGCAGGCAATATGTCACCCATTTATAGCAAAGAAAAATGGGAATAAATTAAGGGCCTATGCAAAGCACAGATCTTCTGAATGTCAGAACACTTCACTAGAATCTACTTTCCACCTGAACTAAAGTATCTAGGAAGAAATAAAAGAGATCTGAACGTGCTCTCAATCCTCAGTTTATGAAAGAGTAAAATTTCTTGTAACACCCCTGTTGGGAAAATAGAATAGCTTGGTTAGGGCCCTTGCTTCAGTCCTGTTGGGTGTGCTTTAGTACATCCATTGTAAGCAAATTGTGTGTGTGTGTGTGTGTGTGGTTAGTGCACATGTGTGCCAATGTATCTTTTTAGTTTTGTTGCTATTCTTGTGTGTGGGAGAGAGAGAGAGAGAGAGGTAGAGAGAGGTGAGAGAGAGAGACAGAGAGAAAGGGAGGGAGAGAGAAAGGAAGGGAGAGAGATAGAGAGAGAAAGGGAGAGAGAGAGAGAAAGGGAGAGAGGAAGAGAGGGAGAGAGGGAGGAGGAAGAGAGAAAGAGAGAGAGAGGAGTTTTAGTGAAGCAGGTGGGCGGGCGTCTGCCTCGGGCTTCTGCTCGGTGCAGCCATGCTTTCCAACCTATGGCTCCAAGGACCTTTTGGCCAGTTATCTGGCTCATAGACCTGTGTGTGAGGGGTCTGGTGACCCAGCCTGGCGTGTTTAGGGTTTGTGATCCAGTCTGTGAATGGGCTTGAGGGGTCTGTGGGCTCTGGACCCAGCCTTAGCTTGACAATCGGCCCAGTCGGTGCAGGATTACCAGCAGGTAAAAGAGCCCAACAACTAGTGTGGTTACCTAGCTTTACAATTGGTGTCACAAACAGGATTAAGAGCACTACAATTGGCGACACAGGCAGAATTCTGACATTAGCCAGAGCCCCACAACCCCCTTAAGTCATGTCTTTCAGTGTGGCCCTGTCTTTGCAATGTGGGCCCCATATCAAAGCTCTGTACGTACCACGTCACTTTTACTTGTGTAGACTCGGTCGGCAAGACTCTCAATGGCGATCCATTTCACAGGCATTTTAGCAATGCGGCCTTGGCGGTAGTAATCACCACTGTAAATCTTCTTAGACAGGCCAAAGTCCGCAACACAGACAGTCATGTCATCTCGCAACCTACAGAAAGTGAATTCATGTCCTCAGTAACCTCAGAGGAAGAGCCTGAAATCTGCATCAGATGCAGATGAAACTTTCACAATAAGTGACCAAAAGAAGATAGAGACCATATAAGCCTGTGAGGGTCCTGCTTTGGGACGCATGACAGAGCGAGTGGAGGAACCAGAAGAACAGTGGTCCTGCATCACTCTGGGGCACCTGTGCACCGTGGATAGAGACCCTGGAAGGAACACCTGCATGCAGGAGTGGAAAGAGCAGCAGCTCAAAACCAGGGCCTTCTGGTAGACTGGTCTAGTGCTCTGGCAGCCTTCCTGCCTGCGGTCTGGAGGCAGCACTGGCTCTGGGGACTGAGTAAGCCTCCTGAGATGCTGGGGAGGTGGGGAAGTACAGCAGTAAGATGCTGTGCTTGTTGCTAAGATGGCTAAGTGGGTGCTTGAGGAATTAACTGGAAAATTAAAGGGATAATATTATGTTTAGCCCAAGGTATTAAAACAGATCCTAGACGAGGAGGAGGAGGAGGAGATCTGGAGGTAGGTGACAAACTTGTTCCTGTTTGCCTGATGTTGACTTTTAAAACTGAAAGTCCCATGTCCTGGGAAACCCCTCAGGGCAAACTGGACAGCTGGTCACCCTATCTGGTGGGAAAAACATGAAGGAAATATAAAGGAAAAAAAAAAGGTTTCCGTGATTCTCCCTCCATGGTAGAAAAAAGTATTTAAATTCAAAAAAATAACAAAGCCAAAACTCTTTTGGGGTTTTCAAAATGAGGTGAAAGGGTTACGGGCCAGGGGGTGGGATCGGCTAGCAGGAGTGAGGGAAAGGCCACGATGTCACATTTCTGACTATGAAAAACAAATGACAGCAGTACATTTAAGGACCACTTCTTCTTTTCACAATAGTAAACCTAAAGTCCAGAAATAGTGTTCTTGAAGATTTACAGTAGATAAGGGCTCTGTTGAAGGAGGCTGAAGAAATGGGGAGAACTTAAATCCAAAGTTCTTGTCTGATAAGCCCTTGTCTGCTGTGAAGGGAAAGCTTGCGTGCATTCAAAGTACACAGCTTCACAAGGAAGCATCGTGAAGACTGAGGAATGCAACCTTTATGATTTTCATTACTGTCTTCATGATGAGCTGACTTACTAATGACTTTGGACCCATAACTCTGGGTCCAGAGCTACGTGATTGCAGTGGGGAAGGATCACAAAGATCATGCCTGCTCTTCTAGCCGAGTGCAAGCGTGAACATAAAGAAGTAATCACAGGAGAAAGCTGTGGATGCCACCTGACTTTTGGAGGCAGAGGCAGTGAAAACTCCAAGTAAGACTCCAGTCAGCAACGAAACCAGGGCAGACACCCGCCCCTGCCCCCCGATTCCCCCTGACTGTTCCCTTGAGCCCCGTCAGAGTGGGCCTCAGCTAGGGGAAAGGGGAGATTGCAAAAAATCTGTTGGGCCAAGTGGAATGGCTGAATTCCCAGGAAAAGCAATACGTTCAGAGAACAATAAAATAGGAGTAGAATTAAACTTTCACTTGCTGGTAGCTGTTAACTTCCCTCTCAGTATCCCTTGTTCCTCTAATATAATTGTAAGTTGATGTCTGGTTTTCTGTCAAGCTAGAAGAGATGACCCAAAGATCCCAGGATAGTTTTTGAGGTTTGTTTTGCTGAAGAGAATGAAGGCTGTCAGAGAAATTGTGACCACCAGATGATCCAGCCCCAAGCTGCTGCTGGCGCCAAAGACCTGAGTTACCTAAGATCTTATCTGGAGTCAGAGAAAACACATACCTTTCTTGAACCTCCCCAGGCTCCCCCTTCCCTCACCTCTTAGCCCTATAAACTCCTTGCTGACCACCAGATGATCCAGCCCCAAGCTGCTGCTGGTGCCAAAGACCTGAGTTACCTAAGATCTTATCTGGAGTCAGAGAAAACACACACCTTTCTTGAACCTCCCCAGGCTCCCCCTTCCCTCACCTCTTAGCCCTATAAACTCCTTGCCTTCTGTTTTTCTTATAAGATGGATCAGAGAAACACGGGCTCGCCTGTCTTCTCTCTTTGGCCAATTCAGGTAAACCTTTGTCTATCTCCAAGCCCCATTGTTTCAGTGTTTGATTTAGATGAGCATCAGGTACCTGAACCTGGAACTTTGGGGTCCTGGTAACAGTAATAGGCCATTTCCCTTCCCCATCACCAAAGATCAAACATCAGGAAGTCCAACCCCTTCCAGGACGGCCCAGGACTCTTACATGCAGTTTCGAGCAGCTAAATCACGATGAAGAAAATTCTTGTGGCTCAGATACTCCATTCCCAGGGCAATATCCACCATGAACTTCAACAGTGTCTGCAGAGGAATATGCTGGGAAGTAGAGGAAACAAGAGAAAGACTCTTTTGTAAAAGGAAAACTTAGCAAATTATTTCCATTTGAGGTGGAAATGGTGTTTTTATTTGTTAAGGTGTGGTGGCGAAACAAGAAAACAAATGTTCCATTTCCATATCACTAATATCACAAATAAGGTTTTTAAAAAGTAATAAACAAGGGCCGGCCCGGTGGCGCACTGGAGAGTGCGCCGCTTGGGAGTGCGGCGGTGCTCCCGCCGAGGGTTTGGATCCCATGTGGAGACCGGTTCCCACTCACTGGCTGAGCGTGGTGCGGGCGCAACACTGAGGGTTGCGATCCCGTTACCAGTCACGAAAAAAGACAAAGAGGAAAAAAAAAAAATTAAAGCATTTACAGTGAATGACATTGTGTTTCTTTTCACAGGTTATGAAGTCCAATGCGATCCTCTGCATCTTTCTGGGTAGTAATGGAACAGGACACCAGGCCATCCAGGAGAGGGGAGGGGACCAGTCTGGCTTCAGTGGGGATGGGGTGTGTGGGGGGCAACTAAAATTTTGGAGGCAAAAAGCCCACCTGGTAAGAGCTGTTTCCAAAGAGACACCTGTTTCTGCTATCATTTTCCTTTGAAATGTTTGAAAAGATACTTTTCTTTTTCTGGACAGAAATTAGGATAGTCTTCACCCCTTATCACAAGACCAAAGTACCATAAGTATGTATTCGGGAATTTTCATTTTGTTTCTCTAGGGCCCTCCAGTAAGTTTCAACAGTCTAGTGTTTTCTCTATGTTGTAAAACCCAAACTAGCCTACTGTATTAGAACACCTGTCGCTGTTAGAACTGGTCATGAGGAAGACATCTAAGGAAGATGTCCACATAGTAACTCATTATTCTAGTGTAGTCATGACCCTAAAGGAAAGGGTTTACCACAAGTTCCTGGCAATGGGCCCATCCCTGATATACTCTCCCCAAGGCACTGGATTTGTCACGGCTTGTTCTCCATGGAACATAAGTTTTCTAAAATAGTATGCATGAAGACACTCATTTTTAGTGATTTATGTTTCCCAACCAAGATACAGTCAATTACATACTACATATATAAACAAAATAATTATTCTTACGCTTAAGTAATGAAGTTGTTAAAAAAAAAAAAAAAGAGTAAACAAATCAGGCATGAAAGTTTCATGCCTTTGTTCTGTATATTTGAAGCATTTGGTTTTCTGGATGCTAATTTTCAGGATTCTGGTCCTAAGAAATGTCAAATCCTGCTGTCATTCATGAAAGTACAATGAGTATGAGGAACTATTCACTTGCACTATTTTTTCCTTGAACAATTATGTTATTCTTGGAGACTGTGACCAAAATCATTTAAAAAAATAATTGTGTGGTACAATTAATAAGTGAGTTCAGCAAAGCTGCAGGATACAGGATGGATTAAAAAAAAATTAATCGTATTTTTATACACTAGCAATGAACAATCTGAAAATGAAATTAACAAAACAGTTTTATTTACAATAGAACTGAAATAAAATACTTAGAAATAAATTTAACAAAGAAAAAAAAATTAATCGTATTTTTATACACTAGCAATGAACAATCTGAAAATGAAATGAACAAAACAGTTTTATTTACAATAGAACTGAAATAAAATACTTAGAAATAAATTTAACAAAGGAGTGTAAAACATATTCTAAAAACTACAAAACACTGAAAGAAATTAAAGAAGATCTAAACACATGGAAAGATACTCTGTGTTCATGGATTGGAAGATTTAATGTTGCTATGATGGCAATACTCCCCAAACTAATCTAACATAAATCCCTACCCAAATACTAGCTGGCTTCTTTGTAGAAATTGACAAGCTCATCTTAAAATTCATATGGAAACTCAAGAACCCTAGAATAGTCAAAACAAGCTTGAATAAAAACAAAGTTGGAGAACTCACATTTACTGATTTCAAAATTACTGCAAAGTGACTATAATTAAGACAGTGTGGTATTGGGATAAGGATAGAAATATAGATCCATAGAATAAATTGACATTCCAGAAATAGATCCACATACAATCAATTGACTTTCTATAAGTATGTCAAGACCATACATAGACAATAGGAAAAAAACAGTCTTTTCAACAAATGGTTCTGGGACAAGTGAATAACCACATGTAAAAGAATGAAATTTGACCTCTCTCTCAAACCATTTACAAAAATTAACTCAAATGATCAAAAGATGGATGAAAGACCTAGACGTAAGAGCCCAAACTATAACATTTTTAGAAGAAAACACAGCGGTAAATGTTTGTGACTTTGGATTTGTCAATGGTTTCTTAGATATGACACCAAAAGCACAAGCAACCAAAGGAAAAAAAGATAAGCTGGACTTCATCAAAATTAAAAGCATTTGTGCTCAAAGGACACCATCAAGAAAGTAAAAAGAGATAATATTTGCAAATCATGTATCAGATAAGGGACTTAGATCCAGAATATATACAGAACTATTACAAATCAATAATAAAAAGACAAATAATCCCATTAAAAAATGGGCAAAGGATAGAATATACATTTCTCCAAAGAAGATATACAAATGGCCAATAAGTGCATGAAAAGATGCTCAACATTATTAGTCATCAGAGAAATGCAAATCAAAATCACAATGAAATACCACTTCACACCCACTAGAATGGCTAGAATCAAAAAAGTCAGATAATAATAAGTGCTGGTGAGGATTCGGAGAAATTGGAAACTTCATACATTGCTGGTGAGAATGTAAACTTATGCAGCTACTTTAGAAAACAATTTGGCAGTTTCTCAAAAAGTTAAAGGTCAAGTTACCATTTGATCCAGCAATTCTACAACTAAGTATATACTTAAGAAAATTTAAGACATATGTCAACACAAAAATCTGTACACAAATATTATGAGTATTATTCATAAAAGCCTCAAAATGAACAACCCAAATGTCTATCAATGGACGAACAGATAAACAATGTGGTATATCTGTACAACAAAATATTATTTGGCCATTGAAAGGAGTGAAGTGCTGATACACACAACAACATGGATGAACATTTATGCTAACATTATGCTAAGTGAAAGAAGCTAGTCACAAAAGACTACAGATTTATATGATTCCATTGATATGAAATGTCCTAAATAGGCAAAGATAGAGAGATTTAAGTAGATTAATGGTTGCTTAGGGCTGGGAATGAAATGTCCTAAATAGGCAAAGATAGAGAGATTTAAGTAGGTTAATGGTTGCTTAGGGCTGGGAACAAGGTAGGGTAAAAGAGAGGAACATTATACAAAACATTATGCTAAGTAAAAGAAGCTAGTCAAAAGACTACGGATTTATGATTCCATTTATGTGAAATGTCCTAAATAGGCAAAGATAGAGAGATTTAAGTAGGTTAATGGTTGCTTAGGGCTGGGAGCAAGCGGGAATACAAGGGATTAAGAAGTGACAGCTAAAGGACATGGGGTTTGTTTGTTTTAGGTGATGAAAATGTTCTAAAATTGATTGCAGTGATGGTTGCACAGCTCTGTGAATATATTAAAAACCACTGAATTGAACACTTTAATGTGAGAATTGTACATATTTGAAGTATATCTTAATAAAGCTGTTTTATATCTTAATAAAGCTGTT